CTCCCCTTCCCATACGGGTTTAAAAAAAAAAAACACCTTTTTTTATTGAGCTGTATAATTCACATACTGTACAATTTACTCCAAAATTCAGTGGCTTTAATATATTCACAAGACTGTGCAACCATTGCCACTGTCTAATTCCAGATCATTTTTACCATTCTGCAAAGAAACCCTGTGCTCATTAGCAGTCATTCCCACTCTCTCTTTCCCCTCTTCACCCAGCGACCGCTAATATACGTTCTTTCGCTATGGATTTGCCCATTCGGGACATTTCTTATAAATGGAGCCATACAATATGTGGCCTTCTGCATCTGACTTCTTTAACTCAGCATAATGTTTCGAGAAGTGGTAAACTCTTAGTCTTTATATGTCCAAACATGTATCTGTTTTGCCCTTAAACTTGAATGATGGTTTAGCTAGGTACAAAATTTGAGGTTCACAAGTACTTGCCTTCAGCATTTTGAAAGTATTACTCCCTGATTCTTTTATGGCTGAGATGCCTGCTACCTGTCTAATTGTCATCCCTTTATAGTACTTTCGCCATGATATCTTTTTTTTTTTTTTTTTTTTTGGCTGTGTTGGGTCTTCGTTGCAGTGCGCGGACTTCTCATTGCTGTGGCTTCTCCTGCTGCGGAGCACGGGTTCTAGGCGCACGGGCCTCAGCAGTTGTGGCACACGTGCTCAGCAGCTGTGGCTCGTGGGCTCTGGAACGCAGGCTCAGCAGCTGTGGCTCACGGGGCCCAGCTGCTCCGCGGCATGTGGGATCTTCCCAGACCAGGGCTCGAAACCGTGTCCCCTGCATTGGCAGGCAGATTCTTAACCACTGCACCACCAGGGAAGTCCCACCATGATATCTTTTTAAGACTTTTCTTTCTGATGCTCCATAATTTTACCATGGCATATGTCAGTATAAATTGATTTTTATTTATCCTATTAGTACTTTTCATTTGAAGACCCATATGTTCCTCCTTTCTGGAAAATTCCAAATAACCCATCCTTTGGGTTCTTTGAACTTCTCATTCTTATTGCTTATGTCTGGGTGTCTGTGTTGTTTTCTGATTCAGCTCCACATTTCTACCTTTTCATTCACTAATTCCCTGTCTGATTCGTGTCTAGTCTAGAATTTATCCCATTTATTGAGGGTTTTGTTTTAAAATTTTAATTCATACGTTTTATGTCCACCATTTCTAAATTTCCATTACCAACCCTTCTCATTCAATTCATGCCCGTTTCGTTTCACAACATCTTGTTCTTTTTAGTGGATATTTGTCCTTTATTGAGTACGTTTGATATCCTAAACATTTATTTTAAGTATTTCTCAGACAGTTTATATCATTGATTTCCCCTGAAGTGAATTCATATTCCTGATTGAAGAGTTTGAAGACTGTCTTACTTAGCATGAAATTTTCACGGATGGTGGAATTTTTTATTTCAGGTTCAGTTTGGGTAAGGGGTATTTGCAGCGGGGGAGGCGGTGGTTTTTCCCTCACTTTTCCTCTTGACCGACTTCTCCCTGTGCAGGGGTTTCGGCCCCCATCGGGGACCAGGCCTCACGATAGTGCTTTAGAGTCCTGGCCCTCCAGTCATCCTGCGAAACCGTGTTTCAGTTTCGTGACTTGAACCTGTGTCTGTCCTTCCTCCCTAGACCCGTGGGTTGCTATAAGCCTTCACCCAGTGCTGTGCTGGAGACAGCTCCTACCAACACATGAAAACCAATGATTAAGTGTTAGAGAATTGTGTGAGTTGGTTGTTAAACAGCCATTGTTAGAATTTAATTATACAAACTCATTAAGTAAATTATATTAAGACGCAAAGGTAATAAATACTCATACTCGACACTTAACCATTTTCTAATTATCTTGCTCCGTATTATTCTCACCCCTGCTCTTTGGCTGCGTACAGCTCTCGTATGTGTGTTGGGAACACTCCGTGGTGGTGGGTGTGCTCCTGGGCATCTCTTGACCACTCTGGTTCAGTGACATCACGTTGGTCATTTGAAATCGGCCATCGTGAGAATGTTAACTCCATGGAAATGAGTAAACATTACAAATCAGGTCCTTTTTTTTTTTTTCTGGAGTGCTTGTACCAGAGTGTACCAGCCCACCACCACCCTGGAACAGGGCAGTGGTGGTTTTCTTCAGTCTCCTTCCATAAACGGAGGTATTATTAACACCACCCCTGTTTCCAGCCGGGAGCCAGCCTTTATTGCCTCATCTCAGAGAAAGTGCTTTCAATCTTGATTATCTTGTAAGAGCTCAACTCCCACTCATTACTCTGCCTTCCTGCTTTTTTTCTGGTCCATAGAGCTATTTATTTTGGTATTGAAGCTATCTCTGTCCTTTGGGTTTTTTTTAAATATTTTATCCATCATAGATCTAAGTTTGGAGAGGAGGAGGTACATTAAATGTTGACCATGCTGTGCTATCTTGATTAGAACTCCATAAACATTTTTTTTCAAAAAGATTTTACTATAGCTGTCAGTAACCTTGATGCTAGACAACAAATGATTACATATACCATAGTATATGATTTACACTTTTAAAAATTCTTTGAGGTGTACTTTCCACGTCCTAAGATGAATAAGATACACCAAAAGTCCTTTAGATGCCTGTTGGCTAACCAGCAAGTCCAGTCCTGGGTGGCTGATCTCTGCGACACTAAGCAACCAATGATAAGTTAAAACAGCTTTTCCTAGAGTCAGGACTCCTGGATGGGGGTAAGAACAGCTTTACACATGCAAAATACCAGAAGGACATTTAAAACAGAGAAGATGTTACCTATTAAATCCCATCTCCGTTTTCACAGTGAGAACGCTGCAGCTTCCAAAATAAAGCTGTATCCTATGAACAATGAATAACAGTGGGAATTTGAATTGGGTGTCAATTATAGAGATTTGAAGGAGTGCTTGTAAATAGCTTGTTCTCTCGTGGTGTGGAACGTGTACCTTCTCCTTGCTGCATACATGTCTTCACGTTTTCTTATTTCACTGGCCCTATCTTTGGCTCCTGGACTCAGAGATTCCTGAGAAATATGAAGGAATTAATGAGTAAAAAGTATCTGTTTAAAAGAGAGGGACAAGTCCACCTCCTTATCCCTTCTCCTATTTCAAACCTTTTTCTCCTTCCATCAAGCTATTCCTTTATTTATTTTTTTAACATCTTTACTGGAGTATAATTGCTTCACAATGGTGTGTTAGTTTCTGCTGTATCACAATGTGAATCAGCTGTACGTATACATACGTTCCCATATCCCCTCCCTCTTGCGTCTCCCTCCCACCCTCTCTATCCCACCCCTCTAGGTGGACACAAAGCACCGAGCTGATCTCCCTGTGCTATGCGGCTGCTTCCCACTAGCTATCAGTTTTACATTTGGTAGTGTATATATGTCCATGCCACTCTCTCCCTTCGTCCCAGCTTACCCTTCCCCCTCCCCGTGTCCTCAAGTCCATTCTCTATGTCTGCGTCTTTATTGCTGTCCTGCCCCTAGGTTCTTCAGAACCTTTTTTTTTTTAGATTCCATATATATTTATTAGCATGCGGTATTTGTTTTTATCTTTCTGACTTACTTCCCTCTGTATGACAGACTCTAGGTCCATCCGCCTCACTACAAATAACTCAATTTCGTTTCTTTTTATGGCTGAGTAATATTCCATTGTATATATGTGCCACATCTTCTTTTATCCATTCATCTGATGATGGACACTTAGATTGCTTCCATGTCCTGGCTATTGTAAATAGAGCTGCAATGAACATTGTGGTACATGACTCTTTTTGAATTATGGTTTTCTCCAGGTATGTGCCCAGCAGTGAGATTGCTGGATCATATGGTAGTTCTATTTTTAGTCTTTTAAGGAACCTCCATACTGTTCTCCATAGTGGTTGTATCAATTTACATTCCCACCAACAGTGCAAGAGGGTTCCCTTTTCTCCACACCCGCTCCAGCATTTATTGTTTGTAGATGTTTTGATGATGGCCATTCTGACCAGTGTGAGGTGATACCTCATTGTAGTTGTGATTTGCATTTCTCTAATGATTAGTGATGTTGAGCATTCTTTCATGTGTTTGTTGGCCATCTGTACGTCTTCTTTGGAGAAATGTCTATATAGGTCTTCTGCCCATTTTTGCATTGGGTTGTTTGTTGTTTTGCTATTGAGCTGCTTTTATATTTTTGAGATTAATCCTTTGTCAGTTGCTTCGTTTGCAAATATTTTCTCCCATTCTCAGGATTGTCTTTTTGTCTTGTTTATGGTTTCCTTTGCTGTGCAAAAAGCTTTGAAGTTTCATTAGGTCCCATTTGTTTATTTTTGTCTTTATTTCCATTTCTCTAGGAGGTGGGTCAAAAAGGATCTTGCTGTGATTTATGTCATAGAGTGTTCTTCCTATGTGTTCCTCTAAGAGTTCTATAGTGTCTGGCCTTACATTTAGGTCTTTAATCCATTTTGAGTTTATTTTTGTGTGTGGTATTAGGGAGTGTTCTAATTTCATTCTTTTACACGTAGCTGTCCAGTTCTCTCCCAGCACCACTTATTGAAGAGGCTGCCTTTTCTCCATTGTATATTCTTGCTGCCTTTATGAAAGATAAGGTGACCATATGTGTGTGGGTTTATCTCTGGGCTTTCTATCCTGTTCCATTGATCTATATTTCTGATAAACATTATTTTTCATAGACATGTACCTTCTACTCTATGGCTGTTATATAGGCCTCAAAATATTTCCTTCATCTCTCCCAAGGTCATTCACCTTTTCTCCCTTCTCTCCTTGTCCCCTAGTACTTTCCTGTATGAGTTACAAGAAACAGGTTAATAATGTATTATATATATATGGGTTATCCTTGAAAAGATTGTGGATGTCACGTACGCTGCCTCCTTATTTATCATATGCTGAATAACATTATGCATTTACTATAATAATATGTGCTGTTCACAGAAGAAACCACTGGAACCCCCAAGTTACCTAAATGGAAATCCTTGGCCCCCTAATGTTCTTTCCCTTCCCTGCAGGTATCAAAGCTGTGTTCTCAGGCCACTACCACAGAAATGCCGGGGGCACCTACCAGGACCTCGACATGGTGGTGTCATCTGCCATCGGATGCCAGCTGGGCAAAGACACCCACGGGCTCCGAGTCGTGGTGGTCACCGCTGAGAAGCTCGTCCATCGGTACTACAGTTTAGATGAGCTGAGTGAGAAGGGAATGGAAGACGATCTGATGGATTTGTTGAAGGAAAAATGATTGCCGATTATGATTTATTCACTTTTCACTTCTACTGTTTTTTCATTTGGGAAGAAACAGCAGCTGCACACAACCCCATATTGAAATAAAGAAGTGTACCAGGCAGGTTTGTGGATTTATGTCCTTTCGCTTCAATCAGAGAGCTAGGTCCTGTCGTAAATGATGCTTAAAATAGAACTGCCCTCCCTATGCAAAAGAGAGGGGAGGAGCCTGGGAATGAAAGAATAAATGATATTATTAGAATCTCTCTGTATGGGTGATTGAATAAGTTCTCCTAATGGTGTGTCTCTCAACTCTGCTCTGAATTAGATGGTTTTCTGGCATCATATGGTAAATGTCAACCTGTCGATCTCAGTCACACCCTGATATCCAAGTGTGATCTCTGATGACTCTTTGAACAAAATTCATCTGATTATAGTAAACCGTGGTCACAACTCCCCAAATGCTAGGCAAAACGAATCTCCTTTCCTTCCTAACAAAACAAATAATTGTGTTCCGTTACCAGAGCCAGAAACTCATCTGGCTGAGGAGCTGAGTAGCCGACATTCCCTATTAAAGTCTGGGACATCTGTCATGGCCAATGATGAAGCGGATACAAGTCAAAGCTCGAGTTTACCTTCATGGCGGCTAGAAAAGTCACCTTTGCACATAAATCGTCCATATTCAAAAACCTCATCCCGGAGACTAGAACCGAAGCCCTAAAAGACCGCCTCTGCAGTCATGGGCAAGCACGTCTGATTCACTCACGTTCGCATTCGCTGCTGCAGTAACTCTCTCCGCAGGTGGATGTTCTCGTGTGATCGGAATCATCCTCTGTTTATGAGACTCTTAGCTCTGTCTACTTTGACAGAAAACATGGGAATTGATGCAGAGTTCTTCAGAAACCAAGCAGAAATTCCTGTGGGGCAAAAACAGTGCTTTCAGCCACGTTATCTAAATTGGCACCAATTTTGATTAGATGCGCTGGTGCAGGATCCCTTGACCAAGGAGCGTGGATGGGTAGGCAAAATCAGCATTGCCTTTGTTGAATCTACCTCGCTGCTGCTTCTCTGCGGTTCCTGACCACTGCGTAATTTTATCCACGTCGCCTTTTCCAGCAGTCATCCTGGTGGACAGGGAGCCTGGGTACTCGCCATCCTGCCAGGAAAACTTCACAGCGTTATGCAGTAGCATTCAGTCATTCTAACAAAGCAAAACCAAAACACAAAAAACTGGTTGCAAGTGAACTGCAAAGTCCATTAAATTAAAAGACTTTCATGTTAAAAAGCTTCAGTCAGTGTAGCAAAACCATGTGAAATTAAATAGAAAGATAACTGGATATATAAATTCATAAGGAACAAAAGACAAGAAGTTAATTTTACTACAGATCGGTGACACACCATAGCTCATTGTTAATGTGGCAAGAAATTAAAAATTTTCAAAATTAGAATGCTCCTGTTTTAGAGTTCTGCTGCATTCTTGCTTCACATTCGCCTTTCTTTGCAACAGATGGGGATAGAAGAGATCAAGAAGGGGAATTCAGTAAGAGGCGTAACGAGTAAGCCACGCGTTTGAGGCCTGGGATGTGGTAACTTCAGAATCGGACGTGAGCAATGTGAACCAGGACCATCAGTGTGGATGTGGGTCTCCTGGGGGAAACGGGGAGAGTTTAATCACCACGGACTGGAGCTCTCTTTGTCACGTCACCTGTGCAAAATGCTCTAGACTGTGGCACTTGGGTTTGGGGAAGGATATGGGAATAATTAAAAGTAATTGAAATGAAACTTCTAAATCTCCTTCTCCAAAAACCTAAAGGAAGATAATTGATTCAAAACACAGCAAGAATATGCTATGAATAGGGAATCCTATGAAATTCTCACCGTTTTTAAAGTAACCAAACAGCAGTATTCCCCCATGGTGATAGGTTCAGAAAGCAGTTAGGATAGTGTATCATTCTGATAATAATTACCAATGCGTTCACTTATGAGTCCTTTTTCTTTAAAAAAAAAAAAAAGACGTATTTTTTTTAAAGTGCCTTATACTGAGATAAACAATAAAACACACCATGATCATAAGTGCTATGGTTTCGAATGTTTGTTAGGTGCTAAGTACTGTCTTAAGTCCTTTGGCTCAGAGAGGTGGGGCCGCTTGGCCAAGGTCACTCACCTCATCAGTGAGGAGCGAAGGATTGAGATACAAACAGTCCAGCTGTTGAGCCTACGCTCCCTGACGTTATCCTCTTTCCCGGAAAACGTTTTTCACAGGTGAGAGGTTCGTACCCGCTCTTGCCAACACGGCACCCAGTTAGCTGGAGGCCCTGGGACTTCATCCCAGTGTTTGTAAAGCCTAGGCAAGGCCCAGAAGCCCCTTCTCTGACACCAGGTTCAGGGTGGCAAAAGCCTGTCCAAGGAGCAGGTCGTTCCAGGCAGAGAATTTTCACTGGAGGAGATCGAAAAGCTGAATTGAACCGTAATGGGCCGCAGGACACAGCTCTGGCCACAACAGTAAACACTTCATCAGGTGAAGCTTCCTTCCTTGTTTATAGTTTTCACCCCAGCGGGTAGGAAGCCAGCACCTCTCTCAGGGCAGAGAGGGCCACCTAATGCTCCCCCCCTCCAATTAATCATTTTAATTGGGAAAAAAATAAGGGGCTGCTAATGGAGGAAGCTTATTTAAAGTGATCTAGAACTGAACTGTCAGGACTCAAGGGTGGGTTTGTGGATAGCAGGTGGGGAGATGATCATCTAACTGCATTTGGTTTTTACAATAAGTAAGTTTATCTCAAGTCTTCAGTCATGTTTCCGCTCAAGTTGGAGAACAGGGGGAAGAAATGTAGTAAACTTCATGGCACTAACAAACAGAACATTTCATAATATTTTGATTTTTCAGCATTGCTAGTTAGTCAGTCCCTAATAGAGGGTTATGAGGCAAACACTAGTTTTAAGCCTGACTAATGACACTAGGACTGGGAAAATAATCTAAAGAAGAGTGGATATATGTATATATATAACTGATTCACTTTGCTGTACAGCAGAAACTAACACAACACTGTAAATCAACTAGACTCCAATAAAAATTACAGTATGGAGGTTCCTTAAAAAACAAAATAGAGCTACCATATGACCCAGAAATCCCACTACTGGGCATATACCCTGAGAAAACCGTAATTCAAATAGAGACATGTACCACAATGTTCATTGAAGCACTATTTACAATAGCCAGGACATGGAAGCAACCTAAATGTCCATCATTGGATGAATGGATAAAGAAGATGTGGCACATATATACAATGGAATATTACTCAGCCATAAAAAGAAACGAAATTGAGTTACTTGTAGTGAGGTGGATGGACCTAGAGTCTGTCATACCGAGTGAAGTAAGTCAGAAAGAGAAAAACAAATACCGTATGCTAACAGTTCTATTAAAAGTATATATATATATATATATATATATATATATATTTATTTATTTATTTATATGGAATCTAAAAAAAAAGGTACTGATGAACGTAGTTGCAGGGCAGGAATAAGGAGGTAGACATAGAAAATGGACTTGAGGACATGGGGTGGGAGGGCGAAGCTGGGGTGAAGTGAGAGTAGCATCGACATATATGCACTACCCAATGTAAAATAGTTGGCTGGTGGGAAGCAGCTGCATAGCACAGGGAGATCAGCTGGGTGCTTTGTGATGACCTAGGGAGGTGGGATAGGGAGGGTGGGAGGGAGGCTCAAAAGGGAGGGGGTATGGGAACATGTGTATGCATATGGCTGATAAGCCTTGTGCAACAGAAACTAACACAGTATAGTGAAGCAATTATACTCCAGTAAAGATCTATTAAAAACAAAAAAGGTACATGTACCCCTATGTTCATAGCAGCACTATAAAAAATAAAGAAAAAAAACACTAGGACCATTTACCTTATGTACCTGCAAAAGATACTGAGTTACATATAACTGTAGAATCTATATACACATAATACAGTTTAATATTATAGTCTGTCTTCTAATGTGAAATCTTTTGAGAAAAGGTAGCAAAAACATCATTTGCATTTACTTGAACTCTTAATACTTATTCCCCAAGTAGTGTCTAAAACAGTTTTGTGCAGTCATGAAATTAAGTAGCAATATAGTATTGAGCTAAGGGGAAAAAAGAAGATTTAGGAATAAATTGTCAAGGCAAGTTCTATTAAAAGCTCTCTGTAATAGACACCAGGGATTTCTTGTTCAGATAACCTTAGCAGTTTTGGTTGCACATGCAAGAGATAGTACTTGACAGGTAATACTGATCTTTTTAATAATTTCATAAAATACTGTCTTACACCATTGGAGAGCTCTTAGATATATTTATATATAGGCACAATGGAGGATTTTTTTCTTGGAATAATAAATGATTTCTAGCATCTTTCTAGAAAACATTTTACTGACTAAATTATCTTTTGCCTTCAATGTATTTTATTTCCTTTTTTTTATTTTAACGTTAGTGACTATACACATACACACACAAATATATACAGATTGGTTTTTTTCTTTAGATAACACCTAAAACAACAATGTAAGTAAAAAACCTATGTAAATAAATTGTATTGAATGTGAATATTCACAAGTTACCTTTTATTATTCTGTTCTGATATTTGTCTTTAAAAAGTAATTTTCTTCATTAATGGGGCTTTGCATCTCACTTACAACAAAGTCCAGACTCCTTCCTACGACTTCCCAGGCCCCTCCCACTCTGCCCCAGCCCCGCCCATATCTCTCAGCATTGGCTCTGCCACCCTGCCCTTGCTGACCGGCCCACTGCCCTGTGCACTTCCTGTTTCCTCTGATGGGAATTGGCTTCCTATCATTTTGACCTCAGCTCAGAATTCCTCAGAGTATCCTTCCTTCCCCACCTGTCTGTGGTTATGTTCCTCAGCCCCAGGCATCACCTCCCCACTCCCTTGTTTACTTTCTTCATAGCATGTCACTAAGAAATTTACTTGTTTTTCTTGATCTTTATATCCGCCCCCCACACCCACCCCCGAATGCAAGCTTCCGAACAGCAGGGACCTTGTCTGTCTCATCGGCCATTCTTCCCAATGCCTAGAACCCTGCCTGGGACAGAGGAGCTGCTCAATGAATACTTATACCATGAGTGTGGAATAAATAAGTAAAGATAGATAGCAATACTAATTATCAACATTAACACAATACAGGGAAGGGAAAGAGGCCACATTCCTAAGCCTTGTGGTAGTTCTTTGGGAATCGTCCTCAAAGTTAGGTATTGTCAACA